CACTGTGGAAATGGCAACTGATTGATAAAACATTACTGTACTGATGACTGGCACCTTTCCAGATGATAGTGTTACCCTGCGTTATCAGGAGGCATGGACTCATATCCCATAGCGATGGCGAGTGTGACTAGCAAGACCCGCCTGCATTAGGGAAAGTCTTCCATGATAATAGCATGGAATTTCACGACCATTGTGAACATTTGTGCTTGGTCTGTTACTTCTCAGATGCTCAGCTTTCATCCTTTCTGCAATATATTTCTTCCTTCATTTTCATTCCAATCCTGATGTGGCCCCTCCATGACATTTTGTTCCCAGAATCCACCTCAATACCTGTATTATTCATGTCCTGCTTGCACAATCAAGTACTACCAAAATTTATATGGTGTAGAAAGTGACCATGTCTGTCGTGCATTGATACCAATAATATTCTGTTCAACTCTTCTTGATCATAACTGGGACTGATAGTGTTGTAAGTTTCACAGTATCACAGATGAAGTCAGTCTTGCAGACTCAAGTTATGTAGTGTTGACATTTTGTCAAATGCACAAATCATAAATACCAAATTATTTGCTAAGCAGATTAATAAAAAAATGGAAGCTTTTTATTGAATGTGTATTTATTATGTGCAGTACTCATACCAAATAAAAAAAATTTAAAAAAAAAAAAAATATACATATATATATATATATATATATATAATATATATATATATATATATATATTATATATAGATATATATATAGATATATAGTATATATATATATATTTTTTTTTTTTTTTATTTTTTTTTTTTTTATTTTTTTTATCATATATATATATTTTTTTTTTAATTTTTTTTTTTAATTTTTTTTTTTATATATATATATAATATTTTGATCTTTAAAAAGCCAGGGGTAAACATATACAAAAAATCCCCAGATGCTTTATAGACGTGGTTTTACTAAAGAAGGCTGAATATCATTTGGACAGCCAAAAAAAAAAAGTAATCTAAATATTTTGAAAGCACACAAAAATTATAAAGAGCAATGATTATTTTTGGGCACATTTAAAAAAACAAAAACTCAAAAGAAATTTAGAACATGAGACAATTGGAAAGATTTGTGGAATATGTAAAGATGTGTCCTTCAAAGTACAGAAATTTAAGTATCTGGGCACATGGATAACATCAGATGGAAGATGCATAACTGAGATAAGAAACAGAATAGGACAGGCAAAAATTGCATTTTATAAAATGAAAAACATCTTGTGCAATAAATCCTTGTCTTTGAGAGTTAGAAAAAGAATTCTTGCTTGCTACATATATCCAGTTTTAACATACGGCTGTGAATCCTGGACAATCGGTAGGCAGGCCAAACAATTTCTGGAGGCCTCGGAGATGTGGTTTTACAGAAGAATGCTTAGAATACCTTGGACAGCCAAAAAGAGCAACCAAGAGGTTTTGAAAGAGGCGGGAGCCCGAAGACAACTTATCACAGACATCAGAAGGAGACACTCATCATTTTTCGGCTATGTTATGAGAAGAGGGAAAATAGAACATGTTGTGACCACTGGAAAGATATGTGGAAGGAAAGATAGAGAAAGACGAGAGAAGATTCTTGACAGTCTTGTTGCATGGCATGGAGGTGTGTCAGCACAAGTAAACTTTGATCCACATGCCGCTGCAGGAGATCGCAGATGATGTTCTGAGGCCATGCTTTTGGAGAGGCAATGATCGCCCACGCCATTCTTTGCGTGAAAATTTGTGAGGATCATTTTTTCACCTGATGATGATGATGATATGTCCTTCAATAAAGACAATAAGAGATTCTTCACAGCCTATAGAAATGGAATGAAAATTTGTGAGTACATATACTGATACAAGCTGTTGGAGATCACAAACTGTGGAGAAGCAGAATCATTCCCGTGGGCTTTTGATGACATTGAGAAAGCTATTATAACAAAGGTGAATAGTTCTAAAGGAATATTTTTTTTCTTGGTAAAGTATAGATAAACAAGACAATTTGTAAATTTTAGCAAACATTTATATTTTTAACCATTGAATATTATTTCTTAATGAATGTTTAAAATTCAGGTTACACTTTCTGTGTAGAAATATAATTATGTAATTTGTTTCAGTAAAGAGATTTTGCATTCATATTCAATAAAAGATTAATTTGATTCATGCATAGGCAAAAGTAATGCTCAGATAATTTGAAAACATATTTTAAGAGATACAATGAACACATGATTATTAACTTAGTGTGAACAAATGAGAGATTTCCTACACATACAATTTTGTACAAAGCAGGTAAAATAAACTGGTAGTGCTCTGGGCACATGTGTAATTAGATTTAAAAATCTGGAGTAAAGAAGCAGTCTAATCTGAAACATGACAGAAACTAAACACTATAACTACCCTTAGTTCAATGTCATATAACAGCTTTCTTTTTCACTCACTTTGGTGGTGAGTGCGGATTAAAATCCTCATTCCTGATGCCAGTGATAAACAGAGACAGCTGTCTTTTGTTGCAAAAAGCAGACAGTGTCCCTGGGCCAGCTAGAATTGGTTCACTAAAGAAAGTGAGCTGCCTGAATATCCCCAGAAAAGGGATAAGAAAATTTAGATGCCTAAACACTTAGACAGAGCAAATTACCCCTCCCGTCAATTTACCTTTTTTAGACAATAAATTAAGCCCCCATCTAGAATAGGTATATTGGTAGACAGCACTAACCTGAACCAGACACACAACTAGAAATACATTAAACTTCAACTGTGAATGTAAATCGGTCATAGATGTTTATTAAAATAAATTCAATATCAATTAATTAGTACTTTTGAAATACAATCCTCAAGCTAAATAAATATGAAGGAACAAACATGATGGTCACATGAAACTGTCATCATGAGAGAGTTAACGAGAATTTGTTGGGTTAAACAATTACCACCTGGGGGTTTCCCAAGGGATCTTTATCCTAAATTACCGTTGAATGTTGCTACTGCAAGAGACACCAAGACTTTTCCTTGCCAAACTGGACTTGCCTCTTTCTGCTAGTGACTGGAAGTGAATGACGGCCATCCTGTCAACCAGCAGGATTTCAGTTAGTGGCCAGGTTTTTGCCACAAACTTTACAAAACACACAGATGAGAAATGCCACAGAGAAACAATGTATACAAACTTTACAAAACACACAGATGAGAGATGCTACAGAGAAACAATGAATATAAACTTTACAAACCACACAAGTGAGAGATGCCACAGAGAAACAGTGAATACAAACTTTACAAAACACACAGATGAGAGATGCCACAGAGAAACAAGAAACACACACTTTACAAATCACACAGATGAGAGATGCCACAGAGAAACAATGAACACAAACTTTACAAAACACACAGATGAGAGATGCCACAGAGAAATGATGAATACAAACTTTACAAAACACACAGATGAGAGATGCCACAGAGAAACAAGAAACACAAACTTTACAAAACACACAGATGAGAGATGCCACAGAGAAACAATGAACACAAACTTTACAAAACACACAGATGAGAGATGCCATAGACAAATGATGAATACAAACTTTACAAAACACATAGATGAGAGATGCCACAGAGAAACAATGAATACAAACTTTACAAAACACACAAGTGAGAGATGCCACAGAGAAACAATGAATACAAACTTTACAAAAAAAAAAAACAAGTGAGAGATGCCACAGAGAAACAATGAATACACACTTTACAAAACACACAGATAAGAGATGCCACAGAGAAACAATGAATACAAACTTTACAAAACACACAGATGAGAGATGCCACAGAGAAACAATGTATACAAACTTTACAAAACACACAGATGAGAGATGCTACAGAGAAACAATGGATATAAACTTTACAAACCACACAAGTTAGAGATGCCACAGAGAAACAATGAATACAAACGTTACAAAAAACACAGATGAGAGATGCCACAGAGAAATGATGAATACAAACTTTACAAAACACATAGATGAGAGATACTACAGAGAAACAATGAATACAAACTTTACAAAACACACAAACCAGAGATGCCACAGAGAAACAATAAATACACACTTTACAAAACACACAGATGAGAGATGCCACAGAGAAACAATGAATACAAACTTTACAAAACACACAAGTGAGAGATGCCACAGAGAAACAATGAATACAAACTTTACAAAACACACAGATGAGAGATGCCACAGAGAAACAAGGAACACAAACTTTACAAAACACACAGATGAAAGATGCAACAGAGAAATGATGAATACAAACTTTACAAAACACACAAGTGAGAGATGCCACAGAGAAACAATGAATACAAACTTCACAAAACACACACACCAGAGATGCCACAGAGAAACAATGAATACAAACTTTACAAAACACACAGATGAGAGATGCCACAGAGAAACAATGAATACAAACTTTACAAAACACACAAACCACAAGTGAGAGATGCCACAGAGAAACAATGAATATAAACTTTACAAAACACACAGATGAGAGATGCCACATAGAAACAATGAATATAAACTTTACAAAACACACAGATGAGAGATGCCACAGAGAAACAATGAATATAAACTTTACAAAACACACAGATGAGAGATGCCACAGAGAAACAATGAATACACACTCAATAAAAGATATTCACAAAGAGGTCCAGCAGGTAGAGATTTTACTCATCATTTCTCTGTGGGATTCTAACCTAAGATATTTATTACATTGTATATTTGCCAAATAATTCTTCAGCCACTATCTTTGTTGTCTCACTCGTAAAATAATGTTAACATGGACAGTGAAATCATAATTCTTATCACCAGATGTGTGAGACAGACAGTTGAGATGACTGAGATTCCATTCTAACAGGTATCCACCAAAAGATACTCTCACATAAATCCTTAGGTGAATGACAAATGGTGATGACACATGGCATTCAGATGTGAATAAAGGAATAAAACATGGTAACAACACAACTGGCAATCAACAATCATGAAGAATCCACTGGACTTTCAACTGAAGACATTTTTATCATCCCTTGGGCTCTCTGATAAGGAGGTGAGTTAGGACTCTCAAAACCTGATGTCTGTTTGGTTACAGATGTGGAGGTACCAACGTTGTTATTATTTGAGTTACCAGTAGCACCACCCACGGGGTGTCGCTGCTGAGGATTAGTCTCTCCTCGTAAGAACTTCTCTAGTTTGTCTACACATGCATCTTGATAGTCATGGATCCACCTAAAATAGACAAATAATTATTGTTACAAATCATTTGCATAATGATAATCTCTTAATTTAGATGAATAAAAGATCTCTTAATTTAGATGAATAAAAGATCTCTTAATTGAGATGAATAAAAGATCTCTTAATTTAGATGATCTCTTAATTTAGATGAATAAAAGATCTCTTAATTTAGATGAATAAAAGATCTCTTAATTTAGATGAATAAAAGATCTCTTAATTTAGATGAATAAAAGATCTCTTAATTTAGATGAATAAAAGATCTCTTAATTTAGATGAATAAAAGTTCTCTTAATTTAGATGATCTCTTAATTTAGATGAATAAAAGATCTCTTAATTTAGATGAATAAAAGATCTCTTAATTTAGATGAATAAAAGATCTCTTAATTTAGATGAATAAAAGATCTCTTAATTTAGATGAATAAAAGATCTCTTAATTTAGATGAATAAAAGATCTCTTAATTTAGATGAATAAAAGATCTCTTAATTTAGATGATCTCTTAATTTAGATGAATAAAAGATCTCTTAATTTAGATGAATAAAAGTTCTCTTAATTTAGATGATCTCTTAATTTAGATGAATAAAAGATCTCTTAGTTTAGATGAATAAAAGATCTCTTAATTTAGATGAATAAAAGATCTCTTAATTTAGATGAATAAAAGATCTCTTAATTTAGATGAATAAAAGTTCTCTTAATTTAGATGATCTCTTAATTTAGATGAATAAAAGATCTCTTAATTTAGATGAATAAAAGATCTCTTAATTTAGATGAATAAAAGATCTCTTAATTTAGATGAATAAAAGATCTCTTAATTTAGATGAATAAAAGATCTCTTAATTTAGATGAATAAAAGATCTCTTAATTTAGATGAATAAAAGTTCTCTTAATTTAGATCATCTCTTAATTTAGATGAATAAAAGATCTCTTAATTTAGATGAATAAAAGATCTCCTAATTTAGATGAATAAAAGATCTCTTAATTTAGATGAATAAAAGATCTCTTAATTTAGATGATCTCTTAATAAAGGGGCGGGGGTGGGTCGCTCCAGAGGGATAGTAGCAGCCTCAGGTGCAACTGGAAAGACAGCTTTAGAGAGAGAGAGAGAGACAGAGACAGAGACAGAGAGACTACTTTTTTAAACTGTTTATACCTTTCTCAATGTATTATTGTAGATTAAAATCGCAGTGATTGCTTAATTTCCAAAATAAACAAAGAAATATATTAAAACCAATCAGATTCGTCCTTCTCATTTAAGAGTATGCTACTCTTTAGTTTTGTTTGAATATTCCCATGCTACAACACATCAGGATGGCCTGAGCTGAAACTTCTACAAGCAGCAGTTACTGACAACATGTATTTCCAAAAGAGAAACTGTACCGATGATTTGACAGATTTTAAATAAATAGCATCTTCAGCTGTAGCGACCATTCAGCTGTAGTGACCATTTAGCTGTAGTGACCATTCAGCTGTTGAATCAGTAAAACATACAGGGAGTTTCTTAGAGCCAGGGCTCTTCATGATTGACATAACTGAAGTTACTAAATGTTGTCACTAGCGGGTCTCCAACAGTCTATGTGAACAAGAGCTATATAGAACTAATGCTTATCAATGACTTTGCTGTTTACCAGGCCACTAAAAACACCTAACAGCCTCCTGTCCACTTCAAAGGTCAATGGATAAAGCAGACAACTTGACCAATAATTGGGCTCTAAAAATTTCATTTACGTTTTCATTTTTCCAGACGACAGTGCTACATGCTGTTACAAAGAGGCACATGAATCAGAGCTAGGCATTATTAAACAGGCCAGGTGTTGATCCCTTGCTGTGCCAGCCAATACTGCCGACTACTGTCATGCAGCAATACTGCCGACTACTGTCATGCAGCAATACTGCCGACTACTGTCATGCAGCAATACTGCCGACTACTGTCATGCAGCAATACTGCCGACTACTGTCATGCAGCAATACTGCCGACTACTGTCATGCAGCAATACTGCCGACTACTGTCATGCAGCAATACTGCCAACTACTGTCATGCAGCAATACTGCCAACTACTGTCATGCAGCAATACTGCCGACTACTGTCATGCAGCAATACTGCCGACTACTGTCATGCAGCAATACTGCCGACTACTGTCATGCAGCAATACTGCCGACTACTGTCATGCAGCAATACTGCCGACTACTGTCATGCAGCAATACTGCCGACTACTGTCATGCAGCAATAATGCCGACTACTGTCATGCAGCAATACTGCCAACTACTGTCATGCAGCAATACTGTCGACTACTGTCATGCAGCAATACTGCCGACTACTGTCATGCAGCAATAATGCCGACTACTGTCATGCAGCAATACTGCCAACTACTGTCATGCAGCAATACTGTCGACTACTGTCATGCAGCAATACTGCCGACTACTGTCATGCAGCAATACTGCCGACTACTGTCATGCAGCAATACTGCTGACTACTGTCATGCAGCAATACTGCCGACTACTGTCATGCAGCAATAATGCCGACTACTGTCATGCAGCAATACTGCCAACTACTGTCATGCAGCAATACTGTCGACTACTGTCATGCAGCAATACTGCCGACTACTGTCATGCAGCAATACTGCCGACTACTGTCATGCAGCAATACTGCCGACTACTGTCATGCAGCAATACTGCCGACTACTGTCATGCAGCAATACTGCCGACTACTGTCATGCAGCAATAATGCCGACTACTGTCATGCAGCAATAATGCCGACTACTGTCATGCAGCAATACTGCCAACTACTGTCATGCAGCAATACTGTCGACTACTGTCATGCAGCAATACTGTCGACTACTGTCATGCAGCAATACTGTCGACTACTGTCATGCAGAAGCTCACTCAGATTAGACCAAAACCACAATACAGAAAACTCATTGGAACAGTATACTTTCTTTCATTCATACAAAGAAAAAATATTCCTAATGTTGGAAAATCAAACCACTATCTTAGATCTACTCACTTTGGGTACGCTGGGTGGGGTGGGGAGGTAGTAGCTACACTAGACACAGGCTCACCCAGAAAATAAACTCGGAAGATGAAAATACAGTCTAATCAAAAGGCATACAAAAACTCGCTGGAAGCAACAAAAATATTGATATTGTGGAGCTAGTAAAAAAAAATGAATGTATGTTAGAAACACTAGAACATGTCAGCCTTTTATGGAATATGCCTCAATACCATATGATGAAGCAAAGAAAAGAACTTGTGAAACCTTTACGAGGTCGAAAATTTGAGTTTACAAATAATAAACATAGCAGTGAAAGCATCGCCTCATTTCTAAATTAGTTTGAAAAGCTTAAGAGGTTTCAAGCCATTTGCTGAACCATAGATTTGAAGAAGGAAAACAATTGTCAAGAAAAAGTATAAATAATTTTCGACACAAAATGCAAATATAAAATCCAACATAATGAGTGTGAAGCTCGCACACAAGAAATATGAATGAACTATCCATTAATAACCAGTAGAGCACAGCAGCTGTTCTTCCTTGAGAGCTGGTCTAGCCCTATAAGTGAAAGGGGGACCTTAGGTCATACGTCTTTTGATCAGGGAAACCCTTCTACAGTCAAGACCTTTGTGCGTGACTGAAGAAGCCCAAAACACAATGGATCTAGAGGAGACAGCTTTGATAAAAAAAACCTAAGCCTGGGGTGGAGGAGTCACCGTGGTGTAGCGGCTAGATGCTCATCAGGCGGATCAGAAGGTTGTGGGTTTGCCTCCTGCTGTGCCGGACTTTTAAAACAAACGACCTTATCTCCCAGGTGGACCCAGCCTTGAGTGGGTACCAGGTGCAGTCCTGGGAAGTAAAGGTAGCCGGTGTGATGCTGAGGGAATCACCCAGCCTTGAGTGGGTACCAGGTGCAGTCCTGGGAAGTAAAGGTAGCCGGTGTGATGCTGAGGGAATCACCCAGCCTTGAGTGGGTACCAGGTGCAGTCCTGGGAAGTAAAGGTAGCCGGTGTGATGCTGAGGGAATCACCCAGCCTTGAGTGGGTACCAGGTGCAGTCCTGGGAAGTAAAGGTAGCCGGTGTGATGCTGAGGGAATCACCCAGCTTGTGCCGTTTATAACATATAGGTCTAGCCCTATATACCCAATACTAAGCCTACGGTTGACCTATATGCCTATTGGCACTGTGGATATATAAGGTCGTGAACGTACAACATCTGGTTAGCGGGTGGGGCTGCGCCAGATGTATGCACTCTGCAAGGACATCCCATGCCTCTTCCCTAGCAAACAATCAATACTAGGGTGACAATTTACTTCCTGTAGATAGAATATTTTATATGGATTTTGTACTTAATAATAAAAAGAATCATCGCCGGAGCTATAGAGTGTGTGCATTGTGCTTGACACCATCTTCAGGTGGCAACAGAGAGAGTGAGAAAAGGAGAAGACAAGGAAATATTAGAGGTTCTTGACCTGAGCCAATGGAATCATAGTACAGACGTTCAGGTATACAGATAGATACAGATAGAATTTAGTAAATGTTTACACTGTTGTTGAATCTCTTGGAATATTGGCACTGGCTCAAAGAGTTGGAGGAAATCCCTGGTAAAAGGCTTATCATCTGTGGGGATTACAATGCGCGGAACAGAGCATGGGGTAGTAGTGGGGAAAATAGGCAAGGTAATGTAGTATGTATAAATGACGGTAGGCCAACTAGAATGGCAATGAGACCTGGTGATGCAGACACGGCCATTGATTTGGCTTTTGTTACCCAGTCAGCAGTACTGGACACAAAATGGAGTGTCCTAGGCGATCATGGGAGTGACTAAATACTATGCTCAGTCTTGATTTCTAAAGCTAGCAAGATCAAGGCTGTGTGAACGCGCAAGACTTTAAATTATGAGAGGGAAAGTAACCTTCTTGGACGCCTTCGACAGAAGGTATGCAGCAGAACCACCACCTCTGCTTTTGTGCAGCCTCTATGGTGGACCCAAGAAGTAGAACAAGCATG